AGCTAATTGTTGGAACCCTGTTCTGCACGTCGACGACTCCCAGAATAAAAGAAGACAAGTGCTTGTGTTAAGGGCCTTATTTTATGGACCAAAAGGTCGAATACAAGATGGGGCCAAACCGCAAGTCGTGTGGATGCTCAGATGTGCCCACTTATAGATCTCTGGATGATCAGAAATCGATGGGTTGAGGGAATAACACGGAGTGGTGAGTTGCTCGTGTACTCAACGATGTGGCGTGACAGTAGAGTAGTAATCAAATGAACAGGGTTGAGTAAATCCAGGTCACAGATCACTGTGTTAATTTACTTGTCTTGGGAATTGTTGGCATACCCAGCAAAACTTAGGCAAAATTCAAGATTTTTTAGTAGCCTGATATTATCCAAGCACCATGTCTGAATTTTAGTGGTTTGCTGCAAAAGTTGGGGCAAGTGTTTTTGAATCTACTGATTTTTTATTCCCATTATAAAAAGACACTTAGTTTCAGCAATACCAAAATTGGAAGTTTCAGCTTCTTTGTGTAGTGCTACGTGAGTTTGAGAGGGAAGTGAGTGTTGGAACCGCAACAAAGAAAATTCAACAATTTGATATGGATAGCGCTCCTCCTCATGGGTCTGTTAAAATGTGGTTCAGCTGAATTCAAGGTGACGACTTTAATCCAAGCAATTAGCCTTAGTTTGGGTGACTCTCCAACGAAGACAATGACTATATCCGTGATTTGGTAAAGTAATAATCCACGGATTACCACTGAAACGATTGCTGAGATACCTACTGATGTCACGTCATCCGCAGTTAGACATTGAAAGCAGCTTCGAGGCACATTGAAACACAATGTACGTTTTGGCCGAACGGAAAGAACAAATCAACAAGTTGTGCCTTTTTGTGGTTAAAAACGAAATAGGGGAAAGTAGTGAAGGATCAGAATTGTCGTATACAGAGTAGGTGGCTCGTGGATTGCAGACGAGCTGTTTATATGGACTTCTTCCACGTTATCTACCAATACCTCAGGAGGAATACTGTGAGAAGCTCAAGAAAAGGAATAGAAGGGGCATTGTCTTTTCATGATAGCAACACTAGACCACATGTCACTCAACAAATATTGCTGTTTTCGTCTCACCTTGTCCCTTTAGATTTTCATCTACCACCCTTATTGCAGAATAATTTAAAATCCAAAATCTGTTGTTTTTGAACAAACTCAGGAACTGCCTCATCTCATTCTGTAGAGATTTTAAAGCGACTGATTTCTGAATCCTGTAAATCCTAAAAGAGGGGTAGAAAGAAGCGATGGAGATTTCACTATTCCTTTCGAAATTGTCGCTTGTTTATGAAACTGTTTTAATTAATTTTGTACAAGGTGGGACAAGAACGTCTTGCAATCACCCAATAATATACCTGATATTACCTAGGACCCTAATTGGCAGGCTTCTCTTCCAGCACTATGGCTACCAAATTCTCGCCCTAGTGGTTTAGGCACTGTTACAGTACTGGAAGCAGGAGCCATGCTTCGGCACTGCGACCGATCCCTGAAATCTTGCCTTTACGAACTATTTCAGACAGTCGTGGAGTTAGGTTATTGGTAGAAATATGACCTGGACGTCGAATCCTCTTTATTGGACCATTTCAACGCACTCCATTCTTCGTGGATGGCGGCAGAGTAAAGCATGAGTAAACTAATGATGGCATAAATTGGTGAAGTCTTGCTACTCATAGCTGACCTGTCCTTTTTCCTTCGTGGTTCCGACCATCAACATTTCCTAGCTAAAGAAACAGCTGTCTAGGCGGTTATACTAAGTCCCTTCACCAAACAATGAGATTTGTGAGTGGAGCTGGACAAATGAGTAATTGGAGCATGTAATTAAATCAAGCCAATTAACTCCGTCACTTCTGCCATGCTTATGCATTATCGGTTGACTCAGTGTCTAAGATAATTTGATCACGAGGCCTGGGGAAGGGAGTGGATGGTGTGCTTTGAAGATGTGTTTATTCCTTGAAAAAGCAAATTAACGACACACGAATCCACGTATCGTAGTAAGGAAACGGAAATAAGGAAAACACGCTCAGGTTCGTGATATGCTGGACCCTTCCGCCAGCACCGGATTGAAGGCATCACGTGACTGCAACACCTTACCTCGTGACACATTGAAGATTGGTTACTGATTCTGCCTAACCTGTGGTTGTGGTGGCTTAGGGCTGTGAAATGTGATTGTATTTAATTGTTTCTGAAGTGCCTTTTATCTGATGCAGTTTGAGACTTGATGCAGTGGTTTGGGAATGCTGAGGTAGGGAAAACGTGTCCATTTAGACGTAGTGGTGTTGACCAGGACAGTTATACGACGGTGACCGCATTCATGGGCAGTGGAAAGTACTCACTACTCATTCTATCCCAGCTGGTGTGGAAAGGGCGATTGACACTACTACAGACTAACAGATTAGCACTACAGCTGCAGTCGACAAGACGATTACGCGCCTGTCATCGGTATCCGATTTAAATACACTTCGAGTTTATTAAGGTGTCTAAGCATTTAATTAGCAATTTAAACGCCTTTACTGTGATTCCAGTCAAAACGTTAACTCCTATCGATGTAGAGAAGGAAATTCCCACTTTGATAAGAGAAAAAGATCAGCTGCAAACTGTACCACGTCAGTTTTATAACATCATACAATGGCGATCAGAGCTGGAACGAACTGGAATCGCGTGAATTGGCGTCACTGTTGGTTCGAATTGAAGATCACAGTTGTCTTCGCACAGCGTGCCCTCACGTAATTCCTGAATAGTATACCCTATGACAATGTGACCATTGTACTATGCCCAACTGAACCCATGTCGGTCAAAGTTGTTCCCCTATACAGTTTTAAAAATCTACCGCGAAAATTTTAGCAATTCTCTGCAAAGGACATCACTTTCTTCAACATTCCGACCATTCAGCATCTTGCAGTGAGCATATTGGATTCCCGTCTCAACTTAACGATGTTTCAAGTGGTCTAATTGACTTATAGATCATGCACTCCTGGTTTCATAATGCCTGACCTGAATTTCACTGGGAGCAATTAGAATTCTCCGGTAGTACTGAATTGCTCTCCACACTAGAGAAGAGCGAGCATTACCTTCTATTCACTCGCAGTATCCAAATATACGCGCAGCCTTTAATGGGAAGTGCATATTGTATTATAAAGCAAATTTATAAGGCTACCTAAATATTACAAGTAGGAAAGACAAGCATGCGACGCCGATGAGAATGCTGGACACGTCGCTAACTCCCCATTTATAATAATTTATTTGCCTTGCTATGATTGTCAACACGACCTCGAAGTGAGACCAGAGGTTGGGTCGATTGTGATCACTCCTGAGCAAAGTCAGATGCATTTTAGTCAGTCAATTCTGGCAAATGTCATTTTGACGTCGCATTTACTTGTGACATGTCTCATCATTGGACATTGTGACTAGAACTTCGCACCCTAACTGTCGCTAAGCCTAGTCATGCTTGGCTATTAATACATAAATCAGTAGCCACGCTCATTTATACCGCCTGTACAAACATTCAGGTCATTAAAGTGCAAGGTAATCAGCCGGAGTCAAGGTGATTACTAAAATTGCCAACATGAATTGTGTAATGTGCCAGTGCTCATGTATCAGTCGTTTGGACGCTAAGCGTGGAAAAGGCTTGTTGTGGGCTCCGGTAGGCAGTCTCCGACACACCAGGGCCACTAGGAGTTGAATCTGGCCCGATAGCGCTACCTTGCTACCCACAACGACCGGGGTGGTGTCGTTGTGTCGTGCGTGGCGCTGGCGTGCGTGTATTTGTAGATTGGATGTTTAAAAACATCATGGGTCATAAATGTGCTAACACTAAGATCGAGGTGAATGTTATCATACACGTAGTGACAATGCCAGCTGCTCTTTCTTCACGCTAATTGAGTGTGAGTTGAGGTTTCGCTCGGCTGACGACATGCTGCGAAGAAAAGGAGGGCAGTGTGTCGAGGAATGGAACGACCGTGTTAAGGATCGTGAGTTAACGCGATTCAACAACAGATTGCTGTCATGACGAGTAATTTGAACTGCATCAAGTTAATCTGTTGAATGACCAACAAGGAGCAAAGAATCTTTTCATATCTTCGAGTTTAGACACATAAAATATGTTTGGGATTTAATTAAGGTGTGTACTTCGTGGAAATCTAATCCAACATTACCATATCCCGAAAATGACAAGTGAGCTACAAGTGAGAAGTCATTAACGGGACCCAACTTGTCTCGAGTGTAGAAACGAGCACCACCAGACTGAATTTGACAGAAATGGAAGTGAGTTTGCAGTGAAATGAGAGGGAGGTGTGCGAACAGGAAAGCGGTCGGATGGGAAATGCATTGGTTTACCAGCACTACCTTAAAATCCTGCTGGTTGAATGTACTAAACGATCCAAAGCAGAAAAAAGAGGAGAAAATGGATAAAAGTCGTTTGTATGAATCAGACCACACAAGTGTCAGTTCAGAAGGGAGCATGAGTATGAACACCGTGTCTCAAATGTAATCGAACTGCAATGACAACAGATCAGCAATTAAAAAGCCTTGAAACAAGTAGCTGTGCAAATGATATCTGCAGATTCATCCCAAGAAAATTTGATCGCGTCTGCAAACTTGCCTAAACCCCAGATTTAAATCACCAACAAAGATAAAGACAACAACAGCAGCAGCAAGAGCAGCCCCAGCAACAATCAAAAGTGGTGGCCCTAAAGGGGGCCGTTAAAGCGTTCGCGGATTGCGCATATAAATACACAGGCAATTCAGGGGCATAAGAACACAGCGAGAATAGTTGGAGTCAATCCATTCAGTGATTTTAATGACGCAGACACCAATGTCCTTTGACACTTTGTGAAGGACGACGCATCGCACTCTTGCGATACCCCCCACCCCAATCGATCTTCCTCCCTTCAGCCAAGTCGTCGTTGTGGAGTGGTTCAATGTGGTAGAACAATGATTCAAACTTTGCAATACCACGTCCCAGAAAGTCATGCATTTCCTTGTGACGCCACGCCTGCCCCCACTCCTGACCAGTTCTGTTGCCGAGGCCAGTTCTGTCGACGAGATGCCAGCTGAGAAGCCCTACGACAAACTCGAAGCAGCCATTAATTCAGCCAACAGGGACCACGGGTTGAAAGCAGGCGCGAGTGCAACACCAGCTGACTGTCCGGTGAAGAAGTGGCCAATGTGAAACCGTCTGAGCTATTTTCTGGCACATGCTTCTTGTTGTCGGTGAAAACAACGTGATCTCGACCAAGTCGCCGTCGTCGGCGGCGGCGGCGGCCAGTGTAAGTGTACCAATTCCGCGTCAGTATTTATAGCCCAGATGTGTTATTTAACGTGTCATAGGTGTGTTAACTACGAGACATAGGTAGAAATAATCTGATGTAGTGACAGAATGCTGTGAAGAAAGGGGATCAGTGTGTCGGTGAGGCGTGTTAACTCACACCTATCGACTCCGCTACCGTAAAAACTTACACCTCGTCATTCACCATTTCACAGCTGGTTAGACCATATGCCTGCCAATTTCACACGTTTTGAGTCCGTCAGTTGCAATAAACTCACGAATCCTGCCACCAACCTCGCTAATCTTCGAATCAGTCATCTAACTGTTTGGTGACCTTACTCGACTTTTACCTTCTCACGACCGCTTCTTCTTAGCGTTGATTGTCGACACTAAGCTAATTGCAAGAGCCTCAAAGCGGTTTCTACAACGACTGATCTTAACAAGGTTCCCTACTTAGAATTCACAGAAGGCAACATCGACATCACTTGCATGTGACTTACAACCACGGATTGTGGCCTCAGCCAACTGCCGCAGACCCCTAGTCGCCTTTATCGTGACTCGGTTTAGGCAATTTGCCTCCATTGTCCTTCTGGTATGACGACACATTGACTTCAGTTCAATTTATCGCTCCTTTATCACTGCAAATTCGGGTGGTGATTACGAGGCATTAATGAGGTCGTGGCAAACGCATCAAAACGTCAAATTCAACATTTTCAACGTGTGTGATTCATGAAATGTCGAGCCAAATTGTTGACCTCACTAGCCTCGATCGTAGATATTACAAATGCAAATGCCAACTAGTAGATAAGGGATGAGCATTAGTAGCTGTAAAGGAACATACAATTGCCGCATTACGCTACACTGAATTACACTTCAGTGATTTCCACGTATGCTCGTGCATTTGACTGCAAGTTCAATCCATTACTGATGGAACGGGTGCCCATTGCTCGTCAATGCTTAAGGTTTCCACCAATGAGAAAAAGGCATTTGTGGGTACTTCATGATCACGTGGCACTCCAAGAGCGAAATTATTCTATTGCAGAAGTGCCAAACAAGAAGCCAGTGAGCAAATGAGGCTGCAAAGTAAGTAGAAGTAGGAGGTTCGAGAAGGAGCACTCGTCGGCTAGGGTTTTGTTCTGATTTCTTGCTTGGTGTACGTGACAGCAACGCATATCACGTTCTCGAGAAACACCTTCAACACAGAAGGAATGCGGTTCGTCCCAAAAAGTAATGTGAGACTTTAGAACAGGCATGATCCTGACAATTGGCCATGTCAGATCCTCTTCTCGATCACCATCTTGACGTCTTTGTTGGTACCACTGAACCTATGAGGACGCTGCCCTAACATGCGGACTCGCGCGCAAGCATGGGCTTTAGTTCGTGAATATTCACTCGGAAAACAGAGGCGCGTGGTCATAGTAGTGGCGTTGACTGCCGACAGGGGTCCAAATCGCAGGCTACATTTGTCCAATTTGTTAACGGCTATGCTATTCTCGGATGACTCAGGAGCTGGAATAGCTATTATACCCCAAGTCCTTTTTACAAACACGTCCCTAACCATTTCCTGGACTTCTCAGCAGCTAATGGTTCTTTAATTACTACTTGCAGAAAAAACCTCCTCACGTCTGGCGTCGGACGCTGACGACAGTTTCGCTGCAAACAGGACACATCTTTTCGTAGGCGCTGATTTCCTCAGTCACTTTAGTCAACTCGTAGACCTCAAGAACAAGCCTCTAATTGACCCTCCTACAAGTCTAAAGGTCAGGTACTCTTTGCGAACAACGTCAAGCGTTTTCCAGATTGCAACGCTACTGCAGGTCAATGGACCCCACTT